TCAAGAGTGCACCTTTCCTGGAAGAACCAGGACTGGTGCCAGCTGCTTGACCCAGCAACAAGCTGGGGAAATCAAGGAGAATTTACACTGTATTGTTCAGAAATGAAACTACAGAGGTGGCAAGTTTAGATCTGTCTTCCTCCTGTGAGCTGAGCCTGCAATATTTGCCTTCCACTTTGTTATGTGTTGATGGGTTTGTTTTGGCTCCCTTTGCCAAGGCCACAGACGTGTCATCATCATCCACCCACAGGATGGCCCTGTGCTTGTTACTAAATCCTCTAAATTTAGGGCTGGGCGAAATGTGAATGGGAGAAGGCCAGCAGGGAGGCTGGGTCAGGCTTCTGCCCTGTTTTGCGCACAGGATGGTGATCTGGCAAGGCTGATCCAGATACGAACCAGTGATTCTTTCCTCCTCCCCCATGCGTTGCATGCAATGATTTATATTTGGCCACGGGATGCTGTTGCCAACGCCTGCAAGCAGAGAGAGGGTTGCTTTATAGAAAGAGAAGCAGCAATGCACATGCAGCCCCGGTGCCCTGTGGGTGCTTACTCAGAAGTCCCCTGGAGTTCAGTGGGGCTGTTAAGTAGGAACACGTCTGCAGCCAGAGGTGTAGCTTCTGAAAAGGAGGTTGTGCTGAACAGTGATGCAAAGAGGGATTCTGTGGCAGGTTGACAGATTGTCACCACCATGACTGCAAATAAACTATGGATTTAGAGGTTAGACAAGGCTACAGTTTTAAACTGAGAGCTTTTGCTACTGGGGGAGTATAGAAATTAAATAAATAAAATACAGCCCTTCCTCAGATTTCCCTCTCTATAGCAATCCATTGTAATTTGGGTCTACAGTCACTAATATTCCTTTAGGCCAGGGGTCCTCAAACTTTTTCACCAGGGGCCAGTTGAAAGGTGCCGGTGCCGGGTGCGGGCCGGCGAGGGGGTGGAGGCAGAGGGGGCGCGCGTGGGCATGTGCGCTGAGGTGGGGGTGGGGTGCCCAGCAAGGGGGGACGAGGCGAGGCACAGGTGGGCACACGCCGCGAGGCGGGCACACGAGGCAGCTGCCTGCTCCTTGGAGATCGTTTTCTCCAAGTGAGCAAACCGCTGCCTCCCTGCGCGTGGGGCGAGGCGAGCACGTGCGCGGGGGCGGGCGCGTGCATGGCGGCAGGTCCAAATGGGCATGGCAGCCCGCATCCAGCCCCCGGGCCGTAGTTTGAGGACCCATGCTTTAGACAACCTGAATATTGTTTTCTCGCAAGTCGGTCCCACTCACTGCAGTGCGACTTGCTCTCATGTAAGCCTGTTACAGGATCTTGGCCATTCCATCAACCTGGTGCCACCCAATGTGATAGACTTCAGCTTCCAGAGTCCCCAAGCAGGATGTTGATAATTATCTTTGGAGGGTACCAGGTTGATCTACAGGTCACAGTCCAGAAGGCATGCATTGTGAGAAAGTCAAGGAAACCTTGCCAAAGATGTGTTAAGAAAGGGATACACAATCTGGTTTTCTGAAAGCTGTGAGTAGCATAAATGCATTTGATTAGAGAAAAGCACTCCAAGTATTCAGCCACTTCTGCTGGCTAAATCTTTCCATGTCAGTATTATGAATAACTCAGCCATTGTGGAATATCTGAGTTATTCAGTAACTGGATCACCTTTCCCTAGAGCTTAACAGTGTAAACAGCCAGTCCAGCATAGTGCTTAAGAGTGCTGGTCAACAACTGACAGAGACCTGGGTTCAAATCCTATGTAGCTTGGAGCCAATGACTATCTCTCAGTTTGTCTACCTCACAAGGTTGTTGTGAGGATGAAATAGGGAGGGAGAAAGCTATTTGTGTAACTCTGAGCTCTTTGAAGGAAGGGTTGAATTTAAACAAGCAAAATAGCCAACAATTATATGTATTCTAGTGGGACAAAGAATCTGTAAGAATACTTTTTGCTTTGCAGGGAAAAAAACAGACTTTCTAGAGAAGCAAAATAAAAAAGGGATATCTTGTTGCCTTCGTATTTGTAGAGGCAGGAAAGCTTTCAAGCAGAGCAGAACCCTTAATGGGGGAGAATGAAAGAGCAGCTGTTCCCCAGGTACATGGAAACAATGGTTATTACAAATGGAACCCTTGAGGGCTCTTTAAGTGATTGGTTCCCTCACTGCAAACATTGGGGCTTTATGCTTCCGCACCATTTTCTATGAAAAATGGTTACCCTGTAGGAGCCATACATGGAAATCAGCACAGGACGTTGTCTGAGAACTTCTGGCTGGCTGTGACCCTGATGGGTAGCAAACGCTTTTCACAGAATCATGGAATCATTGAATACTGGAGTTGGAAGGGGTCATGAAGACCATCGAGTCCAACCCCCTGCTGTTGCAGGACACCAGTTTACGCCATCCCACTCAGAGGGCTGCCCATTTTCTTGCTAAATGTCTCTCGTGTGGGAGAGCCCACCACCTCTCTAGGCAGCTGGTTCCACTGTCGTATTGCTCTGACAGTGAGGAAGCTTTTCCTCACGTCCAGCCTGAATCTGTGTTTTCGCAATTTGACTTGATTATTCCGTGTGCTGCACTCTGGCATCCGCAAGAAGAGATCTGGACCTTCCTCTTTGTGACAGCCTTTGAGGTACTTATAGAGGGACATCATGTCCCCCCTCGGTTTTTTCTTCTCAAGGCTGAACATGTCCAATTAGGGCAGCTCAAAAGACAGAACTGCACGATTCAGCTTGAAATGGCCTAGTGTATTTGGACCTGGAGTCATAATGCAATCAGTCCCCATTGGGCTGGAGGACCTGGCTGTCACTGAAACCAAGGCTCATGGGGTCAAAGTCATGGGACATTTTGATTAGCAGCGTGGGCATTTGCCAACCCCTTAAATCTTCCAGTTCCCTCTAGGTTGAATGACAACCCTCTCACTAGCTGGGAATAGGGAATAGATTGGACTGAATCAACAACAGTTGACTGTGAACTGTCCCAGTTGTAATGCCAAGTATGTCGGGGCAGCTTGGTCTTGAATGGGTGGTTAAAACCTGCTTGACAAAAAGACCTGCTCCTGGTAGAGACAGAAAGTCCTAGAACAGACCTGTTGATATGGAGCAACAGGTGGCCTGTGCGTTTGATTCTCTTGTGGCTATTGGTTCTGGCAGAATGAGTGCTTGCATTTCTGAGCACACTGCTGCGTCATTGCTGGCTGTAAGTGCTTTCTTTCTTGATTCTTAATTTATTATATTTCTTTATTGTCCTATAGCCAAAGCTCTCTTGCATCTAGAGATGAATCTTAGCATCCCAAAGGGGACTGCCTATATATTGTAATTTTACCCCTTGGGTACAATCTTTGATTTGGATGAACAAGAAGGAAAAAAATATTCTACAATTGAACCAGTGCTAAAGTCCTGAACTGGGACTTGGGAGATCAGGGTTCTAGTTCACACTCTGCATAGTGAATGCCTCTTAGCCTAAGCTTCCTCACAGCATTGTTGTGGGGATAAAATGGAAAGGAGGATTATGTAAACTACCCTGGATTCCTTTCAAGGGGGAAAAAGGCAGGATAGAAATTGAATAAATACATAAATAAATAAACAACCCAAATTAATCAAAATGCATTATTAAGTTATTTCTTTACTTGTGGCTGCAAACTAAATTGCAACAAGACAGATTCTGCTCTCTCTGTGTGGGATGGGCAGCCTGCCTGTCTAAATCCAATGCAAAATTGGCAGGCTGAAGCCAATATCCTGAAACCTTTTACAAGACAACAGAATGACTCAGATCTACTCTAAGGAACTGTGTTTTCTAGCGTCCCCATGAAACATGTGGGTGTGTGTGCTTAAGTATGTCTGAAGAAAGAGGTTAAAAGTTTAGAGTCTTACTCATCCTAAAAACGGGCGTCTCCTCCCCCTGCCCCCTCTGATCCTGGCACGCTTTCTCTTGAAATTGTAGTCTATGCTCAGAGAAGCAGGCCCTTTCCTTCATTCCCATCCACTGTGCCTCTTCTTTGCCTTTGAATATCCTCCTTAATCTTGACTCTGTAGGTGTGATTGCTTGCAACTTTGAGACTTTGATCCAAGGGCTTAGAATCAGGTTCCGCCTTCTGTTCGACATGCAAACTGCTAGTAGCAAGAATAATCCTGCAGCTGAAGCTGGTAAAGTAGCTCCTTCTTTCTAGCCCGCCACCACCAAGCACATGTGTGCCCACGTCCCTTCCTTTGGCTACGTGCCACTGGAGAAAATTAATACCACTGTAATCATAGGGGATTCTGCTAGACAAGGAAAATGTGAGTCTCCTGGGTTTCTGCAGCTCCTGAACTCCGTGAACCTGTGTGCTTTCGCATTGCAAACCATACTGGGGCTAATTCATGCATTACGTCTGGATGTGTGAAATACTGCAGCTGTACCAATATGAAACTGAGCAGCAAGATAGTTGCAAATGCATCGTAGAGCGGCTGATTCCTGCCATAAGGCAAGCTGGTGCTTCAGTTCCTGTAATCCCGGACCATTGACCCTGCTGGCTGGGGTTCAGGGATGTTGCGGTCCAAAATTTCTGGAGGATGGTGGTTGCTTACCACCCCTTCTCCCTCTCAGTCCAGAAGGCTTCGACTGAGAATGGAGGACTCAGTGGGAATATCCTATTCCCACTTCTATCACTACATTGGTTTCAGCTTTTTCCTCTCCCTTCCCCCTTCCTATCCATTTTCTCTTCCTTCGTTTCTCTCCTCACCTTTATGCCCTAATGTTGCGGGTTGTCTTCTTCTGATTGACACCACGTATCTGGGGAAACAGTACCAGGTTAGTTTCAGTCCTGAATATTTAGCCAATAGTCTTTTGACAAAGGTGGTAGACTTTGAGATTCTTGCAAGTTGTGCTTTGACAGCTGAACTGGAATGTTCTTGTGCTTTATCTGAGTTAGATGTTGACCATCCAGCTCAGTACAGGGTTGGCCAAGAGCTCCAGCACAGGGTCTTTCTGTGTCCTCTTCCCAGGAGGCCCTTTTGGGGATGTGGGGAATTGAATCTGGAACTGCCCGGATGTCCAGCATGTGATCCAGCATTGCGTGACGATTCCACCATCAGTCAGCCAGGTTTGCTTCCTAAAGCTTCAGCCCTGTGTCCATTGACGTGGGAGGAAGTTCCTCTGAACTTGTATAGGGTTGTGCTGTTAGGCACAGTCATCGCTTGGATTTGAAACAACTAGGAAAGGGGAAGCCTCAGCACATGAATCCCCTTGACTTGTAAGAGGTCTGAGTAGAAGGACGAGGCAGCAGATCCAGATGTGAAGCCCGCTTTGTGTGTTGGCCACAAGCAGCCTCTCTGTGCCCCTATTCAACATGGACTATTGTCTCAAAGTGCTTCCTTGCCGTCTTCCAGCTGCCTGCTCGTAAATAATGCTGCAAAGACTGCCTGCCGCATGAAGAAAGGGCTGTGTTTTACTGCAGGCTTTGGCTAGCCCAAGTCGGCTGTGCGTGCCTTTCAGATTAATTCATGCCATAAATCAGCGGAGCTTCTGCCACAGAATGGGCAGCAGGCGCAGCTTTTCTAGGGTCTTTGGTGGCTCGTAACATGTTGGCACTTCTATAATTACTGGTTTGCTAATCTACGCTACACAGACTGGCCAGATTGCAGGGTTTTGCCACACTTTCAAATGGGAGGTGCATTTTAAGAAACTTGTTTTATGTGTAGAAGGCCTCTATGAAGAAAGCATGCAGAAAGCGCTAACACCTTTCAAGTTAGTGAAATTAAAGGGATGCTTTAAAAAATGATATTGAGGGTTGGATCCAGGCATATTAGAAACATGGAAACATGGAAGCAGAGTGAGTCAGAAGGGGGCTCCTGGGCCATCTAGTCTGACCCCTGGCTCCACTCATGACATGCCTACCGTGTGCATATTCAATTGGAGTAGACCAGGGCTGGTGTTCAAATGAGCTTGAGGCTGCCATACTTTGGAAAATGGAAGTCTTCCTGGAGAAGACCATCATGCTAGGGAAAGTCGAAGGCAGAAGAAGGAAAGGAAGACCAAACAGGAGATGGGCGGACTGCATGAAGGAGGCCACTGCCTTGACCTTAGAAGAGCTGAGCAGGCCTGTCATGGATAGTCATCTTGGAGGACTTTCATTCACGGGGTCTCCATAAGTCAAAGACGACTTGATGGCCCACAGCAACAAGAAGGGTTCTCTAGCCAGCCCCGCCCACTTTCATTGTGTACAGGCATTTTTTCCTGATTCTAGATGGTTAAACTGCTTTCCTCAGCCTTAGTTAATGGCAATAGGAGTTTTAAGCTGAAATATGTTGGCAGTTTTGGACTCTCCCCTTTGCCTTTGGTCCCAGCCACAAGTCCTGGGTGTGCAGCCCTGGAGATCTGTAAAATGGAATCCAGGTCTTGGAATGAAGGGGGTTCTAGATTCTTGGATAGACATCTCTCCAAGCCAGTGTATTATATTCTGGATTTGTTTTATAAATTCACTTATTTCATTTGTTTATAAATGGAAAGATTCATTCATGCTCTGATGGGCATTTTCTCATTACCATTACCAAGCATTTATATCCCACTTCATTGTCTCAAAGCCATTTTTAGCAACGCTCTTGAACAATGGCCTTGTGCAATTGTGTGTGCGTGTCCCTGCGGGGGTGGTAGCTAAGAAAAGTTGTGTCATAAACACTGAACATTAACTAAATCCATGTATTTGCTTATTATATCACAATGTATTCTGGATTTGGTAGCTATGGAGACAGGTGGAGCAAAGAACTATGAACGAGTGTGGTGTACCAGCCCCTAGCCAAATTAAAACCTGCTTGGTCTTCAGGGCGATCCATGGCTGCTAGTCCTGATGGTTTTATGCTGCCTGTAGTATCAGAGACCATATGCCTATGCACTCTTTTGCTAGGGAGCATGGGTGCTGTTGTGCTCACATCCCACTCAGGAGTTTCCCACAAGTCTCCAGTTCACAGAATCAAACCCTCTGCTCAGTGCAGGACTCTCAGTTAAAGCATTCTGACAGATGGCTGTCCAGCTGCCTCTTGAATGCCTCCAGTGTAGGAGAGCCCACAACCTGCCCAGGCTGTCGATTCCCTTGCCATACCGTTCTGACAGTCAGGAAGTTTTTCCTGATGCCTAGCTGGAATCTCTCTTCCTGGAACTCGAACCTGTTATTTCTGTCCTGAACTCTGGCCATGGTGTGGCTGAAGTGTAGACTACCTGGACTTTGGCCTGATCCAGCAGGGTTCTTCAGAATGGTGGTGCCCTGTGACTTGGCACCTTTTCAATTTCACCTGTAGTGCACTCACTTTCTGATCTTCAGCACCCGGAAAAGCAGCCAGCAAGGTGCTTTTCAGCTGAAAGCAGGGTTTCTGGCTGTTTGCCTTCAGAGTCAAGAAAGCCAGCCCTTGCCTTGTATTTGGTGGCCACTTAGCAGCTATGAAGGCAGGACTGGAGCTGTCTTGATGGCTCTCTAACAGGCTGCATGCATTGAATATTCTGCACTTTCTTCCTCTGCACCCCACCCCAAGCTGTTAGATGAAGCCATGGGAGGGGGACTACGTACTCGCTTCACTCTTCCATTCCAACTCTGTCCTTTGGATGATGCGTTTTGTGTCTGTTTCAGCGAGTGGACTGAGTGTCTGGCGTGTTCCAAGCGAATGACATCACGCCGTCACCTCCCACCTTCCACTCCAATGCACCTGCAGGCCCAGAAGCTGTGCATGGTGGAGTTAAACCAAGGGCAGGCCAAGCCATGTCAACAGCGCTGCAGTGACACCTCCACCGCCTGCAGAAAGCAAATGTGACACACCACTGGCAGCTGGCTTCTTCCGAAAAACGCCTCCTGCTTTCTGCTCACATGCAGAGGGTGGGAGAGTGAGGCTGCGCTGACTAACCCCTCCTCTGCCAGAGCATGGGCTGACTAGCTAACCCACCCTGGTGTATCCATGAATGTCTGTGGCGGGGGAGTTTTCATGCATACGGCTGCATGGTTCATGGGGTGCACATGGTCTGGAATCGAGCATGGGTGAACATATGCAGGTATGCCAAGCCATAAGGCATAAACTGAAATGGTGCCATGTTTGAAAACCAGAGGTACTGGAGCCGGAGTCCCAGAGACTGTTAGTTTGCCCTGCTCAAGGGGGCTTTGGGCTTGTGTTTCTTGACAATTAGATTTCCCATTCCCTTTCCCATCTATGGAATGCGCTCCCCAGAGAGGTCCACCTGGCGCCGTCGTTACTTGTTTTTTGGCGCCAGGCAAAGACCTTTTTATTTAAAACTTATTTTAATTGTTAAATGATTTGTATTTATAGGATTTTAAATTTTTAGCCGAGATGCACTGGGGGGTTTTAAATAATTTTTTTATTGTTATATTGTTATTTATTTATGTATTTTATTTCTGTTGTGAGCCGCCCCGAGGCTTCGTTGCGATGGGGGCGGCATCAAAATGTTTTAAATAAATAATAAATATCAGAATGTTTTGGAAACTGAGGGGCCTTTCAGTGTGGTTCAGGGTATGTGGTTCAGGAAGGAAAATGAGTCAGAGATTCCAGCTGTGCATGAGCAAGGCTTGTGCTGTACATCTAAAATAGAAGGGGCTTTGCCCAAAATTTAACAATGCTGTGCTGTGCTTTACTTTCTTTAATTGTAAGACCGTCCTGAGGCTCTTGGTAAGAGGATGGTATAGAAAAGCTTTACGTAAATAAATAATAGGGTTCGTGTTGGTGATGCAAGAAAGAGAGGCTAGGGTTGTTCCACTGGCTGGAAGTGCAGCCTGAAGACGAAACGTGTGGTTGGGAACCACCGCTGGGGTTGATTTTGCAAAGCGATGCCCAGGAGAAGCACTGGAAAGGAGCACCACTCCAGGTTGAGCTGAGCGGATGGGGTGCCAGTCTCTCCCCCGGGTGCTCTCTTGTTCCTTCCCGGCTGGCGAGTGGCGTTGAAGACCAAGGGCCTTCCCGCAGCATTCTCCTCCTGAGAATGTTTTGATCCCTCAAGGGCAGCATGTGCCCCTCTCAGGCCGCTTCCCCCCTGCTGGCGTCCGTCATAATGGCCCCTTGTTCTGGGAAGCCCAGCCGCCGCTTCTTGCCCCTTCTGCTGCGGCACGTGGATGGCTCGTATTCTTCCCTTTCACCCCCTCCTGGCTGATCTGTGCTGGGAGGAATCCAGTCCCTGGCTGAACAGCTGCTCGGAGAGATGAATGTGACTTCTCAGATGCCGGCCCTGCTGCTGTCCCTTATTTTGATGCAAATCTCCTTTGGCATCTTGAAAAGCAGGATTAGCGAGGGGGCCTCGTAGGCGGGGGGGGGGGCGCAGCTCAGTGTGCCTCCCCCCCCCACCCCCGCTCGCTCCAGGAACAGCACTTTTGCTTTCTCTCATTGTTTACTCACCCAAGCTTCTACTTTTCTGTGGCATTTGAATACCGACGCCTTCATTGTCTTGACCTGCTGCCAGAAGCAAGCCGGTCCTTTGGCTCTCAGTGCGTGTGCCGCGCCCCCCCCGCCCCTTTTTGTCCCCAGGAATCCAGCTAATAACTTAATAGCTTCTCATCATCTCCCTCTGCAAAGTGTTTTGTTGGGAGTTGCAGAGAGCACAGATGGAGAGGGAGGGAGAAGCCACTTAGCCAAAGGCTGCCCCATTAACGCTTGTCCTCCAAAGTCAGGTGTTTTCCCAGCCAAGCACGCACCGCACCGGGGCATGCGTTTATTTACTATATATATAAACAGAAAGGCTCCAGTCCCTGCTGCTCCCCCCCCCCCGCCCCCGCCACACACACCAGGAGGATTTGGCACACAATAGAGGGAGAAAAGCAGCGGCATCTGCACTCCTCAGCGACGGCCTGCAGGAGAGTGTGAGCTTTTTGCATGCATAGCCATGCGCAGGGTGCCATCAGTGCCTGAGCAGCAGCTGGCCTTCTTGAATCAGGGTAGCGATTTGAGTCCCCCCCTTTCTAATTTCTCAGAGGAGGTGAAGCAGTGGGAAGCGTATGTGCCTGTCTACATAGCCCATGACTTGGCTTCTGTGTAATGCCAGCCCAGAGTGCAGGCTAAGGATGGGTTGTCATTGAGACACGGGTGGTTGTTGTGTGCGGACACGGCACTATGGATTAATAATAGGTGGTTTACCACAAACAGTCCAGAAATCACAGCCCAGAATCAAAACCCAACAGCAAGCTGTGGGTTCTCTAGCTATGTTGTTTGTGGTTAACAAGCCATCATTAAACCCTAATGCAAAGTCTGAATGTAATGGCAACCCACGCTCCGTCTGTGTTCTGTACAAACTAGGTCAGAGAAACTACGGTCTGTTTCATCCATAATAACAACCCAGAGCCACTATTCAGCAACAGCCCATATACAACCTGTACTCTGGATTCACACGGTTTGCAAATCAGGCCATAGATGCAGCCTTGCACACAGCCAGATCCTTAGTCCATCTAGCTCAGTTAGCCTGCACTGAGCTCAGCTCTCCAGGATATGAGCCTGGAGAGGCTTGGGCTCGAGCCTGGGCTGTTTCATGGCAAGCGTGCCTGCTCCCACTGAGCTTCTGCCCTTCCTCATTTTTAAAGTAGAGCATTGCATATGACCTCCAGTTCAAATCTGATGAGAATGACGAGGCGCTCTGATGAATCAAGGGCACACAGTACACTTTAAGGTGAATCTTGCGCGCCCTTTTCCAGTTACTTCTGTTTCCAGTTGGAGACTTTAATCTGTATCCATAGCAGTCTGGGATACACGGAACGATGTTACAAGAACCGGTTCTGTGCTTTTATCTGAATTGCATATCTGTATTATGACCCTAACACAATATCAAGGCTCCAATAAGCTGTTTGTTGAACAAATGTCTACTGAGAGCCAATGCAAAAGTACGTGAAGTCATCGCATTTAACTATCCGTCAGCAATAATTAACCCGACTCCACTGCATTGCTTGTTAGTCTGTAAACCACAGGAAAACTACTTTGGCTAATCCGTGTCAGTGTCGCAAGCTTGAGTTACATGAACTGGTCCCACTGGTGGAATTTGGCACTCCAAACGAGAATATTGTCGGCATCACAGCCGTGCATTCTGGACCCACAAGACTTTTAAAGCCTGGTTCCTTTCCACAGCCTTGCACACACCATCACAGTTCATGTAAGCGCATGTGGGTGTAAAGAGCCTTATAAAAGTTGTGATCGCACATGGCGCTTGGGGGAAATCAAAATGCGCGTCGAAGCATTGCATTTTCTCTTTCAAGGAGAATGACCATTTTTACCTCTGATGTGAAAACGTGGGTCTCAGTATCATAAAAAGGAGTCCAGAGCATGATTTGACTTTGGGAGGTAGGAGAAAGGGGGGTCACACAGGTTACTGCCAATGCAGCCAAGATGGTTGATTCAGGGCAAAGACTTGTTAAAAACCTGGCAATGTGGAATTGCGATTGTGAGGGGTTATCGATGTTCCTTGGTTCTTCGTTTTCTCAGGAGAACATGCCGCAGACTCCTCCCTTTGCAGCGATGTTTGACAGCAGTGGTTACAACCGGAACTTGTACCAGGCGAAAGAGGACAGCTGCGGAGAACTGTACTACCACGACAACAACCTGCTGTCAGGATCCTTGGAAGCCCTCATCCAGCACCTAGTGCCCACAGTGGATTACTACCCCGATGTAAGTCTGCTCCGTTTGCAAAGGACATCAGGTCAGTCTGGTGTAATGCCCATAATTCCCAGCCAGTGATTATGGGACCTGCGATCCTGCACTTCTGCGAGGCAGCAGATTAAGAAAGGCTGAACTGCTGCACCTCCGAAAAAGGAGGAAGTGGGTTCGCCAAGGAGAGTTGTGGCTATTATGTAGGATACCTAAAGGAACGCCTGCGTCCATATATGCCCTCCCGCCCCTTGAGATTGGCGGCAGAGGCCCTTCTCTGGGAACCTCCGTGAAGGATATTAGGAGGGTGAGTACCCGGAGGAGGGCTTTCTCTGCGGTGGCGCCCAACCTATGGAATGCGCTCCCCAGAGAGGTCCGCCTGGCGCCGTCGTTATTTGCTTTTCGGCGCCAGGCCAAGACCTTTTTATTTAAACACTATTTTAATTGTTAAGGTTTATTTATTGACTGACCAGACTGTTTCCACTATTTTATGGATTCTATGTATTTACTGCATTTATATGTGGGATTTTATGATTGTAAGCCGCCCCGAGGCTTATGCAAAGGGGGCGGCATATAAGCTGTCTAAATGAATGAATGAATGAATAAATAAATATCATGTTCTATGGGGAAAGTGAATGGCTTCCAGGCATATCCTAACGTTGTGTTTTTCCTGCTGTGTCTGAGTTCAGCATCTCTTAACATGAATTTGCCATTGAGTGCCATTCACACCTTCTTTTTGCTCCACCAGTTAAATCCCCAAGGTATGTAGTAGTATTGCAAGTGATTGGAGTTTATTGCAGAAAGATTGCGGAACAGCCAGTGTGTCTGTCTCGGGGTTCTGGTTTCTCCTCTGCTGTTTTCCCCCAATGTAAGAACATCAGAAGAACCATATGGCTGAGTCTGGTGGTCCTTCTAGAGTGGGGTTCCATTCATCCAGTGGCCACCCACGGGCCACTGGGAAACCTGCAAACATGGCACAGGTGCGAACACACCATTCTGCCCAGGTTCCCCAGCAATGGGTGTATATAAGCATAGGGCCTCTGCTGGTGGAGAAAGCTAGCCTTAGCTATCAGGACCAGTAGCCTCTAAGCTTTCATCCAATCCCCCTTTAAAGCCATCCAAGTCCAGGTCTTCACCTCTCTGGCAATTCCAGGTAGAAGTTTGCTCGCAGATTGTGCCGTGTGTACGCAGCTGCGTTCCTACCTGAAGCTTCCTAGCCACCTTCTCTTGGTGTTTCAACCTCTTCCCCTTGGATGCATGCCCAGAAGGTATGAAGGAGGAGCTCCTTCTTCTGCGCTGGATTCTGGTTTTATCCGATAAACCGCAGAGCAAGGCAGGGTCTGAGGGAGAGGATGTTTGCTGTTGCTGGGAAACCCAAAGGCATGTGTTATGTTTCCCTGGTGAATAAAGTTCTGGGCTCGCACTTGTGCACAGACCTGTACAAAATGGTCCCATGTATTAATTGTACATGATGGAGGGTGCTGAGTGTGGCTGTGATGGTGTGTGCTTGTTGCGTGAAATTTATACCCACATGGGAAATACCCACCAGTGAAGTGGCCCTGTGTGTAACGCAGCTCTCCTGGCATGTTGGACTACAACCCCCATCATCCCCAGCCAGGCTGGGGATGATGGGGGTTGTAGTCCAACCTATCTGGAGGGCGCTAGGTTGAGGAAATGGGGTATAATCACTGACACCCTACCAGAGTACTTTGCATACTGAGCCGACAAATGAGATCATACATGAAGATCAATTTCTGGCTTTCTGCTGCTTCACTTTGATCTCAGTTGCAGATCTTCAAGAATGTGCTGACCAATTGAGTATGATAGATTTCCTAATGTGACTGTTGCATCCTCAGTTCAGGGTTCATTATCCACGTAAATAAGCTTGCTTTGGAATGGTTTCCAAATCTCACTGATTCATGCCCGTGCGTGTGAGCCGCGTAATTAACTTTGCGGAAAGCTCACATGAAGATGGCTAACTTTACGAGCGATACGGAATTTTCCATCCCATGACTGACTGATGGCAGCAGGTCATCGCAAGATGCCAAAAAAGGATGCGGAATGTCCTCTGGCTGTCCGTTGTATCCTCTGTTTGTCGGGCCAATATGATGCAAGACAGACTCTAAGAAGCGTTAGGATGGGGTGGGCAGCAACACCCCCATGCTGCCTGGCCGTCTGAATTCGTCAGCAGTGCAATTGAAAAAAGTGCAGGAAAGGCAGCTGTAGTGCCGTGAGTGCCAAAAGAGCCAGATTTAATCCTTCCAGCCAGGCCTGGGACCAGAGGCAAAAGGGCACATCTGCCACTGATCAGAACCCCCAGCTGCCTTCCCTGATTTTATTTATTTATTACTAGATTTATATCCCACCTATTTCACTTTTTAAAGAACTTACAGCAGCTCACGTCATTCTCCTCCTCCCACTCTCAGTCTTATCCTCACAACGAGAACCCTGTGAGGTAGGTTGGGCTGAGAGTCTGTGGCTGGCCCAGTTGGCTCCATGTCTGAGTGGGGACTCGAACCCAGATCCCTTGAGCCCCAGTCCCCTGCTCTGAACCCCTGCACCACCCTGGCTTGACTCCCCACCCCCTTCCCATGCAGTGGCCCCCTTCTCCCCACTACACCATTGACATGTGCCTTACTTTTACTAAATGCCCCTCTCGCCCTTGTCTTTACTGCTGAGCTGCACAGCTGGGGGAATACATGAGAGGACTTTCCTTGCATGCTGGCTCTGAGGAAGGGCTCCCTTGAAGCCAGGCCTTTCAGCCAGACGGACTTTCTGAAGAGCCGGGCTGGCCGCTTCCTCGGCTGGTTTCTTTCACTGAAACAAATGACCCAGAGGCTGGGTGTAGGACAGCAGCTGGAGATCCTCCTGGTGGGACTGGGGGAGAGGCAGAATTTACTGTTCTGCTGCCCGAGGCAGGGGTTCCACCATGTTTTATGGGAGGGCTGGCCCCGCTTGTAGCGCCACAGAACAGATTGCCACCAACCTGAAGTGTGATGTTTTTCCTGGGGTGCTCCACACATTTCAGTGATGCCCTGTGTGGAAGCTGGAGAGCAGGAGGTGGCATCCATTCCTTGTGTGGTTGTCCATTCCTGCATGAAGCCTAAGAAGTCGGGCATACAGATTCCCCCAAAGAGTGCTGGAATTCATGCGTGCATTGGAGGAGTCTGTGGGCTGAGCTGTCAAGGTTTCCTGTCTTCAGCCTTACCTGAGAAGGTCACTTTGGTGCTGGCTAGACTGGGCACAGAATCTTGCAGCTTAATTACTTTCACAGATAATAAATGTATAGGAATTGCAATGTACTTTGCAATCTGAGAAGCGAAATTAAAATGTAAGGTCGAAGTGTTGTTGTTTTAACTTGGCTAAAATGTTCAGTAGCGTTTGGAGAGTTAGTGCCTTGATATTGGTCTCATTTTAGTCTTCTGTATTAGTGCTGCTTAACTTTTTAATGGCCAGGGGGTGTTCGATGCTCTGAAATCAAACATATAATTCTTTGGTAGAGGAACTGCAACCTGAAGCCTCATTCATCAAGCAAAAAGTCCCACTGATTTAAAATGAGTTTACTCTCTTGCCACATCCAGTCATCTGTTAATCTTCTTTCCCTTTGTTCAGAAATGGCAACATACAGAGGACTGTGGATGCATAAGCATTTGTGCACCTGCTTTTACCATATGTTGTAAAATGCAAAGCCAGCCTGAATGCCATGCATTTCAGCGCTTCTCAGTCTGGTTGCCTAGAGTCCATTCTTACTCACCACAGGGGATTAGGTAGTTGGCTGACTACAGACCTGAGAAAGAGGATACTGTTGGTGAAGAAGCTTACCTGAATCTGAGAACAGGAGGGGCTTTTAAAAACCTAAGTATACCCTGGATCTGGGGGGTGGGGGACAGATCACAGATATCTTTACGTCCACCCTCCAAAGTGGTTCTGCCTGATTATCTCATAGGAGAGGAGCTGGCTGTTTGTGGGTTCATGACCAAGGCAAGTCAGCCTACCCAAGCTGGTGTCCTCCAGAGTTTTGGCCACCCGACTCCCATGCTCCTCAGTGGCTGTGCTGGCTGGGGATTATGGGGCCATTAGTCCATCACAGCTGGAAGCCACCTGATTGGAGCAGTGCTGTTCTACACCAGTGGGGTGTGCTGGAGATGCCAAGCAAGGGGCGTGGTTCTGAAATTGCACAGCAAGGGATTCCAAGGAACTGAATCCCTGTGTGACACTGTCTTACCCAACCCACATCGGCTCAGCTGGGCGCCCTGCCCTGCCCTGCCCTACCCTGCCCTGCCCATCTGCTGCCCAGCTTTGCACAACCCAGGTGTGATCTATTTGTAGCAGGTTCTGAATGCAGTCTTGTTAGATGCAATTCGGCTTTAACACACACCTGTGTGGCATTGGGCTCTCTCCCAAGATAACGCAATAAGCTCTCTGCTGCCTGATGAAGCCTGAACACACAAGGTGAAGTAAGGCCTGTCTCTTGTTGGTCTTTCCCCTGCAGAGAACATACATATTTACTTTCCTGCTCAGCTCTCGGCTCTTTGTGCACCCCTACGAGCTCATGGCCAAGGTTTGCCACCTGTGCACTGAGAAGCAACGACTGGATGAGCCTGCGGCTGATAAAGTAAGTGGCGTGCCCAGTCGGTGCCACTGGTGCCGACTTACAGGACAGACGAGCCTGGAACGCAGCCCTGCCCAGGCGTCGTGGCCCTGAGCACCAGACCCATTGCTATTCCTGCTTCTGCCTCTGCCTCTCCCTCCATTGCATCCATAGCCCATGTTTTTCCCCTGGCAAGGAACCCACGGGGGCTTGCACAGAGCTCCTCACTCTACTTTATCCTCACACAGCAGCCCTGCGAGGTTGGCGAAGCTGGGAGCGTGTGGCTGGCCCAGGTCTCCCAATGAGTGTTCTGGCCAAGTGGGGACGAGGACCCAGGTCCCCTGGGGGAGTCCGGCACTCCCACCACCTCCCTGCACGGAGTCGCTTTTGTGGGCCACTTCCCTGGATATCCCACCGTTCCTTCAAGGAGCCCGGTGTCATGCGTGGGGTCCTCCTCTTCCTGTTTCTTCCTCCTCACACATGTCCTGTGAGGCGGGTGAAGTTGAGAGACGGCAACCAGACCAAACCGTCCAGAGCATGGGTCCTCAAACTACGGCCCACGGACCGGATCCGGCCCACCATGCTGATTGATCCGGCCCGCCTCAGAGCTTTTGGACTTGCTCGGAGGAAATGATCTCCGAGTGAGCCCAAAAGCTTTGAGCCAGCGCAGGCGTATTCAGTGGGGAGATGGCCACGATCATGGGCGCATTCGTGCGAGGAAGACAGGTGCGATTGTGATCGTGCTGGAGGTGGGGAGATGGCCACGATCCCGCCTGCCTTCCCTGCACAAGTGCGCCTGTGATTGCGCTGCCTTCCCTCCACAATGGTGCTGTGGGGGGGGGGGGTGGCCGCAATCCCGCCCACCTTCCCTGCAAGAGCAAGCCTGCGATCACGCCAGTCTCCCCTCCCCCGAGTCCTGCCCCCCAAGAGTCTGAGGGACAGTGAACTGGCCCCCTGTTTAAAAAGCGTGAGGACCCCTGGTCCAGAGAGTTTCCTGGCTGAGTGAGGATTTGAACCTGGATCCTCCAAGTACAGTGGAAGCTGCAGCTCATGGATGCAGAACCCGTCTCAGCACAAGGCGGAATCCCAGCTTGGAATAGCTTTTGGGACTGCAGGCCGGGGGTGGCAATGACAGGGAGAAGTACCCACATATATTTTAACTGAAAGCATTCGCTGCCAGTAATGAAACCTTAAGAACGGCACTTTAAAGACGGCTGCTTTGGGATTGTGGCTGTTTTTGTTTCCACTCGAGGCTCAAAGCTGAAGGGCTTGTTTAGCTCAAGAGTTTGTTCAGCTCCCATCAGCCCAAGCCAGAAGGTTGTGTTGGGGAAGATGGAAGCTGTTATCCAGTGATGCCGGGAGGGTCTCAGCTTCCCATTCAGGTTTTGCTGAAGTAATGCAACATCACCTGGTGTACCTCAAATTGTGTGCTGCAACAAACTCCTCATCTTCCTGCACTCACGGGAGTGCACAACGTATCACCTTTCTCCCACTCTTTCTAGAGCCGGTTACGGAAAATTGCCCCCAAAATTCTGCAGCTGCTAACAGAGTGGACAGAGACGTTTCCGTATGATTTTCGAGACGAGCGCATGATGAGGAATTTAAAGGAACTGGCCCATCGAATAGCCAGTGGGGATGAGGTGAGTCTCTCAAGCGGGCCAGAATAATTCTGCTGCTGTTTCAGAGGATTCCTAGAGGAGTACTTTCAAGCACAGTATTTAAAATTGCCTTTAAAGCAAGGGCAGACAACACACAAACTGCTGCTTTTGCTGTCCCACCACTCCTACAATGTTTAAAAAAGGGAGAAAAAGTTGCATTTTGCCACTGAAATTTGACACCAAACCGCTACTGAGGTTTAAAATGAGTACATTTAGCTGCTTTTCCCTTCCCCTCCTTTTTTGCCCTGGGGGTAGGAATACAACCCATGGGGGCAAGTGGGGGAAATTGGTGCCGGACCACCAAAAATTGCCCTGCACTGCTTTAAAGTTACATGTGCACCAGTGTAAATGGTTATTTCTGGGACGCACGAAAGATGTAAGCTGTTCAGTTCATTTACTTTATCTCTAAGTGGTTCACAACAGCACATAAAATACAGTAAGAATACAGCATAAAATACATATGACAGTAAAACATCACGTGAATTAGACTATAAAGTTTATAAACCAGATTTAAAACTGATTTTAACAACTGCGATAACGAACACAAATAAGCATCAGACCTGTTAGATGGCTGACATAAAGTCCCGATATGCTATTTAGGGTGAATTATAGCTGGATGACGTGTCCTCTAAACTGCATTTGCAGTTTTTAAACCAGATAGCCAAGTAATTCTATGTGAGCCGTCCTGAGGCTTTCGCAACAGGACGGCATATAAATACTTTAAATAAATAAATAAATAAATAAATAAATCCAAATTTGCGTGTGGTGTGGAAATAAGAAACTTTCCCTCATGCTCTGTCCCCCGACCAGCAAAGCAGTGCTGTGTGTGTTGAATTTGTTTGATATTCTGTGTTTGCAAGCTGCCGTGAGAAGTCTGTTAAAGGGCATGATGAAAGAAGACTAAAAAATAAAAATCAGATTGTATAAATCAAATAATCACCTCCCTCTGTCTGCTAATATATGTGCTGTGATATCTCCCTGAGTGTGGAAGAAAGTCGCACTGGGATTTCCTGACACAGGCCTGCAGACAAGATGACAGGCATGGGGGGTGAGAGTGAAAGCCATATGCATCGCCATGGCTCAGTCGTGCCCCTGAGCAGCTGGTTAAAGGGGAGGAAGGAATATTGTGGGGATCCTAACTGGACTCTCCCATAGTTACACAGACGATGCCTGCCTGTTATCCTAGAATCTAAGCTAGGAAAACACACCGGAATCTCCCTCTGCCTGCATGCATGCGTAAGTGCTTGGTCTTTCACCAACTTTAATCCTGGGGAGTTGGTAAACGGAAGCCGGAAGCCTGGCAGATGCTATTCATAGCCACCTGCAGGACAAAATATGTGATTGGTAAGAACTGCTTTTCATCCACCCATGTGTTCAGGGTCTCAGAACTGGCCATGCAAGGCACATACTTAAGCCCGCCTATAGGGTGTTTTTTTTCCGTTGGCTTAGTGCTCTTTTCCCGCACTTCCCATCCATATAGCTGCTCAGCATCTGGTCTGCTTCTGAAATCTTGTCGAGTGCCTCCTCCTCTTCCTCTTCCTCTCCCTCCCCCTCCCCCTCTCCCTCCCCCTCCTCCCTGCCTCCACATCAACCCAGCTGTCCCTTTCCCCATTGACAAACACCTTGGTCACCAGCTGGGGCCTAGCAGCTACCATATGGGAGCACAGATGCATAGAGATAGGCATAAATGTGTTTTCTCCTTGGGCCTTGCATCCTACCTTCTCTGCGGTGCCCAGGGTGGGTGGATATTACATATTTAGAAGCATCTGATTATTATTTTTAAAAATTTGTCACTAAAAGGATTAGTTCAGTTCTGTTGTTCAAAGGGAGGAGAAGCCGAGGGGTGCCTGTAAAGCCATGGGGAGCACCCGCATCCACCAAGAATGGCTCATATAGAAGATTCTGGCTGTGTGTGATGAGTTCACCGTCGTGAGCATGCAGGAGTGGCTGCCTGGGACGTGCTGGGAGGCTACAAATTTCTCTCTCTAAACAGGCGTAGGATTGTGCCTGGCATAAATAAAACAAGTGATTCTGCATTGCCTTTTAAACAGGAAAAAATATGGGGAAAGCTAACATTGCAGATCTAAGCACCATAAATTATTAGTTATATTGGCTAGTAATTGTCTTGGAAGGGTAAACGCAAACTCTGGCGACCTTGTTCTGTTGCACTGCATTGCAGATCAGCCCAGAGATGCTAGGCTGCTTCAGACAGGGTGGCCCATGAGCTCCTCCGTCAGAAGTTTGCGTTTGCCATTTCTACCCCAGCTGGCTCTGAGGAGTCCACAGTTCTTGAGTGCTTCTTTCCCTCTTTGCAAATATAAGCATGTTTTATGCTGCAACAAAGCAAGGACTAGATCCAGAGGATAACCTTGCAGGGGCTTAAGATGGGAGGGGGGCAGCTTGTGGCTCTCTAGATGCTGTTATACTACATTTCCCATCCCTCTGCATTGGCTAGGCCAGAGGGGCTGATGGGAGTTGCAGGCCAACAACATCTGGAGGGCCACAGGTTTACCACACTGACTTGGTTTAGTCTGTCCAGTTGGAAGAGTGCGACAAGTAAGCCCCACAAAACTCTGTAGCTGCCATTCTTGGTCTTGTGTCAGAGGGTCAGGGTTAAATAAATCTGAGTTGTTAAAAAAGGTAGCTTCCCCTAAAAGATGGACTGGAAATAGTAATTAATTAATTATTCAAGAAACAATTAGTAATTCAAACCATAAATATTTAACATTTTTATGAAGGCAGACATTAAAAATGTAAGATTGGAACCAATGCCTATTTGCCCTGTAATTTTTGTGCCTGCCAAGCAGGGACTAGATTTTATTTTATGTTATATTATTCTATTATTTTTTAAATCCTTTCAGATTTATATATACTGCAGTTTTCTACTCTCTCCACATGCACCTACACATTTAAATCTTGAAAATGCAGTAGAAAGCAAAAGCATTGCAAAAGGAGGAAGGAGCGACTACACTGTTTTGAAATTCTGGGATTTTAAAGTCTTGCTCCCCCCCACCCCTCATTTACACACATTTCATGTGACAAGTTTCACCTTCTTTGCATGGTAATGTCAATAACAATTTGATTTCTCTGCCACTGCTTCCCGTCCATTTGCAGATGTCATGGTAACTTTGCCACTGAGTCTACACTCAGCAGGGGGCAATATGCAGTCATGACTACTTGGTGCAGGTGCTTCTAAAGGTTATATGTATGCCACATTCACAGAGAGCCAGTGTGGCGCAGTGGTGAAGAGCACGGGACTGGGACTCAGGCGACCTGGGTTCTAGTCCCCGCTCAGCCATGGAGCCAACCGGCTGACTTTGGGCCAGTCACTGACTCTCAGCCCAGCCTGGTTCAGAAGGTTCTTGTGAGGATAAGAGTGAGAGTAGCAGCAGGAGAATTATGTGAGCTGCTCTGAATTCTTTAAAAAAGAAAAAGTTGGGATATAAATACTGTCTTTGGGAGAGCCTTTGGGCTATGGGCTGAGATAAAAATGTATTAAATAAAATCTAATAAATATTAGATTTTTAGGTGAAACCCTAAAAAGTAATGTGTGACATGGCTTTGTATTTCATTCAATTTACAAGCCCCTAAGGTACCCACACATGTGTGAAGTTAAATTTGCTTATACCCTCCTGGTGACAGTCTTAGCACTAATCTGCATTGTCCAATGGTGACATTGGTCCCAACGCATTGGTGAATATAGGCTATCAAAGAGGCATGCAGCGATAAGGTTACCCACTTCCTTTAGGCTGTTTTTAAAAACCAGATATATATCACTACAGATATTTCATCTAACAGTCTCCCAAGCTGCCATGCAGTACCTCAGAGACCCTGAACGAAAATAAATACCAGCACTGTCGCTGTCTTTCACAGCTTGATCCTGCCCTTTTGCCAAAGGTTAAATGTCTAAAAAAGGGAAAAGAAAAGAAACAATAAAAGCCCTTTGATTCCTATAATAGAAACCAGCAGTCTGTTACTTGATGTTTGTAATTTCCCGGCTCCTACATCCTAAAACTTGTATGCTTTCAGTTTGTGGATTTATCGTACCTCGAAAAGGCTGCCATAAGACATCTTGCATGTTCAGCATGCATCATAGCTTCAAAAAGGCCAGAAACCACTTGTGTTGGCAGCGCAGCTTGCCTAAAACAGCTTTATGAGTCCAACCTCAAGCTGATTGACTTTGGGAATGAAGTTAAACCAGAAGAAGACAAATTAAATTGGTGTTTTTTACTAGAAGAGAGTTTGTGGTGTGCATGTTTCCTGTAGTGGATAAGTTGCTAGGGTGCATTCCACTTCCATCGCTTTACTTTCCACCCCTGTTCCGTTCTGTTTTTCATTCTGTCTGCCTTTCTTTTTAAAGTGCATGTCCACAGACACTGTATTACTTTCTAATTTGAGAATCAAGCCAGAGGTCTGTGACGTGAGAACAAAATTGCTTATGCATTTCCCTGGTCTCCATGTGCCACAGATGCCTATCTCAGCTTTGCAGCAATGCAGTGGTCAGTCAGGGTGGGCATTGCCTGCGTGGGCTAGGCCTGATGGGAATTCCAGAAGAAAACATCTGGCAGCCACAGCCCCGGGGCATCTCTCTTGCCGCAGGACTGGTCCATGGTGCAGCTGCCCAAGAGCCACTGTTGCAGGCAGGCGCTTGGCACCTCAGGTGCTGCTTTGCTTTTTGGGATGTGCGAATGGGCTTGGCATTCCAGGCCAGAGAGTTTCCTTCTGCCAGTTTCAGTTGGAGGGATGCTTACAGCCAAATGACTGCTCCTCACTAGAGCTGACGGAGCAGCTGGCAATGATGCATTCTGGTAACATGGCAAGACATCAAGTGGAGATGCTCTTTACAAACCTGAGCAACTTTGGAATCGGTCTGTTTCAGCATTACTCTGGAGTAGCACAGAGTAATGGAGAGGCTACTACTGATGCCAAATGCAGCTGCCCAGATCCGTGGGGAGGGAAGCAACGGAAGCAGGTTGCAACAGATGTGTTGCTTGCCAGCATCTTTTGAGGCCAGATCACGTGAAGGACTGCCAGCCCCTCCATGAGCTTGGCGGGCCCTTATGATCAGCCTCCTATGGGCTTTGCCTCCATAGGAGGGCCATCAGACTGACACAAATCAGACATCCAAAGATGCTTTAAGAATCTGAGCATCACTTGACTATTCTCCTCCTCCTCTTCAGTCTCCATCCCCTACATTCAGGAAGGAAGTCGAGACATACCTTCATAGGTGATTAAAAAAAAAATCTGTGGCTTTGAAAGAGTTTTTTCAATGTTTTGTTCTTTTTAATTGGGATATGGTTCTTATTTTCTGTTATTCTAGTTGGTTTGCTTCAGGAAGCTGGTATAGAAATAGGATAGAACATTTCTCTTTTGCTTTGGCAGATGTACCGGAAAAATGTGCAGCAGATCACCCAGGGTCTGATTCGTAAGCTGGCCTCCCTCAGCCAGTACGAGGAGGTGCTTGCGAAGATCAACGCAACCTCGACAGACAGACTGACCGTCCTGAAGGCCAAACCGCAGGCCATCCAGCGTGATATCTTCTCTGTCTGCGCTGACCCCTATGTGTTAGCCCAGCAGCTGACGCACATCGAGCTCGTGAGTTGATCTTCCCCTCCATCTCTCCTGTTTGGGACCACTGGCTCCTCTGTTTTGGTACCCACATGTGAGTTTGGATGCATCACTGAACTCTTTCTTTTCTTCAGGAGAGACTCAGTTACATTGGAGCACAAGAATTCGTCCAAGCATTTGTACAAAAGGATCCCCTGGATAATGACAAGGTGAATAGGGTGGGAAGGGATGCAAAATCCACGTGTGGGTGGCGGTCTGCAGGTAGCCAAGGGGGCAAGTGGCACTCAGGATTCTGCCAATCAAGGGGGTAGTGCTGTGTTGGAGCCTCGTGTCACCTTTCCAGATTTGGTGCCCTCTGGATGTTTTGGATGTCAGTTCCCATCAACCCTAGGCAAGATGGCCCATGAACAGGAAAGCTGGGAGTTGTAGTCCTAAATATCTGGAGGGCATGGACTGTGGAAAGCTGAAAGGTAAGCAGGAGCTGGTGTATTTCATGAAGAGCTGACATGGAATGGCTCCTGACCTCACGTAGAGCTATGTCGATCCATAACAAAGAAGCAATTTTGACATACTGTGGCTCTGGGAATGGGGGAAATCCAGGTGGAAACTGGATTACTGAGGCTGTGAACAGTGTCAGATGTCAACTTGAACTAGTTGACTGGGGTCAGAAAACACAGTAGCCCATGCTCAAGGGCTGAAGTTGGGTGGAAGTGTGAGTTATTGAAACATAGGTTATCATGTTGACAGAACCCAGTCATGCTAGCAACCCTTGGTTTGTTAACTGCAAGCAACCCAAAAAGAGAACCCATGGCTTGCTGTTGGATTGTGAATTGTGGTTTGTTTGTGGTTAATAAGCCATGGCTTGTTAGCATAGCAGGGTTCAGATGACATGATAGTCCATGATTCAATGACTCCTACACTTGAACTATACTGAGCCTTTCAGTATGGGTTTAGCATGTTGTCTTCTGTACTTTAAGTGAAGACTCAAGCACTGCAAAGTCAAGCTTGTTTGTCGTTCTGATAGTCCATGATTCCAAGAATGGCTTGGGCATGTCATTGGGAAAGGGTATAAGATAGTCTTTTATATGGTTTCAGTTAAGGTTTTATAATTTTTGCAATGTTAGTGTTTAGATTTTAATGGGGTATATATGTTATACTGTTATATATGGGGATTTAATTATTTTGGACTTTTTGCAAAGAAGGGTGGGATATATTCATTGAATAGTAATTTCAAAAAGTTAAGGAAGCTTATTTTAGTAAGCATCTGGCTAAGCCAATGGTATGGCCATCAGATTAGAATATGTCCCACCACCAAGAAATGTAACCTGGAAAACACGTGCGCAATTTATCTTTTCTCAGAGCTGCTATGGTGATCGGAAGAAAACCCGGAACCTGCAAGCATATGTGGAATGGTTTAACAGGCTCAGTTACCTGGTTGCCACAGAAATATGCATGGTAAGCAGATCTGTCCAGTCTTGCCTGTGGCTGTTTTATTCTTTGGTGCTTCTGTGCATGTTCACACGGATGAAGCCTTGGAAGGCTTAGCAGCCTTTCTGCATGGGGCACACAATGCGATAGTAAAATTCTTTGTTGTGACTTTTCATACTGGTGGGACTGTGGAGGGGTGGAACCTTCAATGTTCCCCCATGGGAGAGGCTCCTTGCTAGGACTAAATTAGAAAGAACAGATAGTAAAGGTTAACTCCCCCTCACCAGGCACTAATATTTAGCACAGGTGAGTATCTTTAAGTGCTGTGAGAAGCGTGGGTACCACAGGACATGGCTGACAATTTATTTTGTCTTTCTTTTGCAGCCTGTGAAGAAAAAGCACAGAGTGAGGATGATAGACTACTTCATTGACGTGGCCCGGGAGTGTTTTAACATCGGCAACTTCAACTCCTTAATGGCTATCATTTGTGAGTCCTTTGTCAATGCTCGTTTTGTTAAAAAGCTCCTGTTTGTAGAAGATGCTTGGCTCAGCAGCGAGTTGGCTCGCCTCAATCTGATTGGGCCAGCTGGGCAGGCTCGGGATGACTGCTGGTAGCAGCTGGGCCCTCTTCCCCTGCGTCTCCTCCTTGTTCCCTGGGCCACTGCAGTCTTGTAATGGCACATCGCTAAGACCAGACAGGGCTAGGCCCCAGCATCTCCAGAAAGTTCCCCTGCCTGGAATCCTGAGAGCTGCTGCCAGTCAGTGTTGACAATATTAGGTGAAATGGAACAAGGCAATACCCACGGTTCCTATGGGTTTTGCCCAGAATGATGACCCCTGCACTCCCTCGGTGGTTGGGGGGGCGGCAGTGGGGTCTGTATGTGTGTGGGGAGGTTATCTTCACAGCAATCACTCACCGGTTCTACATTTTAAATATATTTAGGCATGAGCACTTATATCCTCTTTCTCTTGTCTCTTCTTCCTCATCCCTCCCATCATCCTATCAACTAAAAGCTGGAATGAACATGAGTCCTGTCTCTAGACTAAAGAAAACATGGTCCAAAGTCAAGACAGCCAAGTTTGACATTCTGGAGGTAAATCTGATTTGGATCTCCAAAAGGGGAAGACATCTCCTGCTAACCTGTACCTACCTATTCTGTGCATGTTTTGTACTGCAGAAGCTACTACTGTTAAAAGAGGGATAAAAGGAATATCCTAATGCACCAATTACAGTGTGTATGAATACTAAGACAGGAAGCTACTAGCCCATGAGAAAAATCTAGCAGCTTTCACCAAGAACAGGCGATACAATGCCTTTCAGAAGACTGAGGCTACACTTCTCATCAGTCCCAGCCAGAATGGCCAGTGGCCAAGGATTATGGGATTTGTAGTTCTAAACAACTGGAGGGCACTGGGTTGTCCATTTCCAGATGCCATTCCAGAAACAGAGCATTCTGGAAGACATTGCACATGAATGTCTGTCTAGATCCCCTTGCCATTACTTTCAAATTGTTTCAATGATGAGTAATTTGATTTGGATAAGAGTGCACTGAACACAGGCTCCCTCCGCGTATCTCTGGCCCTCTTACCGATTAGATGAGCTTTGGCTTATGGTCTGTTTTTGCTGTGCATGATCTTAAAGTGCTCCCGCCTGTGCTTCATGTCGGATGCTGTCCTCACATCACCACCCTGAAATAAACACTGGCCTTTTCCCGGGGCTGTAACGAGATTACACATGGCATGAAATGTGTTAATTGCCCATTTCCACCCTTTCTTTCTCTAGCATCAAATGGACCCTTCCAGCAATTTCTACAATTACCGCACAGCCCTGCGTGGAGCCGCGCAACGGTCTCTGACAGCTCACAGCAGCAGGGAGAAGGTATCGTCGTAAATATCCTTGCAATTGACCATGATTTAAATGGTCTATAATGGAATGGTCTTGTTGGTTTGCATGGTGAGCGGCCGCTTGGGACAAAGTATTCTCTTCCTCTGAACCAGACTTCCATAACCTGGTGCCTTCCCGATGTGTCGGACAGAAACATTTTAATATGGGCTGCTCTTTGAAGATTGTGCAAAATTCCGCAGCCAATTTGCTTTTTGGTGTGTGTTTTGACGGAACAGCAACTAACCTACAGCATTTGTTTCCATTCTGTTCCTGGGCGTAGTTCAGGGTGCTGGTGCAAACCTATAAAAACCTGAACAATTTGGGGCCAGGATTCTATAGGAATGCATGCTCTCCTATGAGACTGCCTGTAATTTAGGATCTGTTTCAGAAGTTCCAATGCCTTGTCTCATCCCCAAGAGAGGTTAAGATGCAGGCAGGACCTTCTCTGTGGAAGCATCTTGATCATGGAACTCCCTCTCCAGGAAGACTGGACTGGTTCCGTTCTTGCTTACTTTTAGCTGCTCCATTAAAACCAATTTTATTCCACTTGAACGGTATTCTGTGTAATTCTGGGCTCTCCTTTTAAATAAGCTTTTCTTCATGGCTTACTGTCTTCAGAATGCTATGTATTATATTGCTTGATAAGCTTCATTTTTTGTGTTGCCCTGGGGACTTTTTGGGGGATAAAAGGCAATGAATGCATAATCTCCTAAATAGATGTGTGGCCACAAGTTTGCCCTATTTGGCTTTAAGGCTCTGTTTCGAGAGATGCTCAGCCACATCCCAAAAAATGCTGTGGTTGATCACACTTGCCTGCACTTGTTCAAAGGAAGTCTTTTATTGATCGTTCTAGTCTGACCATTTCCCTTCAGACATACCTAGCTCAGAGACCTCTCTTGTTTGCAAGGGGCAAGGATGTGAGAGCTGGTTAATTTTCTTCTTGAAAAGGCCAAAGGGGAATGGAAGGCTTGAGTCTTGTGCTGGAGAAAAGGATAAACAGAATTGCCAGCAGGCTAGTGGGGGCACAAGATGTGGTCCTGGAGCTGTAATCAAGGACAAAGGAAGGCTTTCTGATAATTCAGAACACCTATTCTGAGCCTGTCTTTAGTAAGCCATCCCCCTCCATCCTGATGGAAACATTTGTTTTCATTTCTTTTCAATTCCCCGTTCTGCCCTTGCTGCCTTTTGCAGAGAATCAATTTCCAAGCGGGTTTTCTCCCTCCCCAGCAGCCCAGCCTGTGAAAGAGACAGAGCAGCTTTGTAATGGGTGATAGAGAAATGCTTTGCTCTTGGGGTGAAAGGCATGGAGACGAAAATCAGTGGAGCAAGGCTGGTGCAGGGATGTCCCCTGGAAAACGATTCCTCTGAAATCGCTGCACTGCCTGTTACCTGTTTTAGGAGAGCAGCATCCTCTGGGTTTGAACTGGATGGAAACGGGGCAAGCTTTGCTTTGGCTCCTTCAAGAGTTGTTCTCACTTACATGGACTAAGTTTGGGGAACGGAGTAGAACAGATTGTACAAATTGGGTTGGAGAATAATATAACCTGGTACCAGATCTTTTAAACCTATGGTATTTCAGAGTGTGCATCCATGCATGTGTGTATGTTTGCATATGGACAAAGAACTTGTCTTTTTTGTATTTTTTGTGCACAAAATGCCAAAGCAAATTTACTTTGATGTGTGCCTCCTGGCTAGTGGCTGGTTTTGTTTACAGTTTTGTTTTTACTCCAGAGGGGGCAGAGGGTTCCCAGTCTGGATCAGGACCCCTACACTGGAGTGGGAGTAGGTGGCTTTTAAGATCTGGGCCTGGCCACTATCTACTCTACAGTAATAATAATAATAGTAATAGCAATAGCAATAACCCCTGTAGCTGTTAGATTGGGGGGTGGGGGTGAGTGATGGAGGTCAGGGAGGGGAGATGTTGTTCCCCTCCCCCCCCCCCGCCCCCCAGCTTGCTTAGCAATCCAGTGTTTCATAGGAGTGACAAGCAAAAGCATCTGCAGGGCTTTTGTATACATACATTTGTATACATACATTTACTATTTATTTACTATTTCAGTTTCTATGTTGCTACCATTGCCTGTAATTGAGCTCCCTGTGTGGCTTACAACAATTAAAACAAACCACCTTCTAAAATCAATAACACTAAAAACATTACCCAAACATCAATAATACAAAAACATAGCCCAACAAATTAAGATCATGACATGAAAAAAATTAAACAGCCATAAATAAATAACATAAACTAAACTAAAATTATAAACCATGGTCATGTTAAAAATAAGATTATTGTTAAAATCAGCTGTTAAATAGCTGGAGAAGAGATAAGTCTTCTCCTCTTGCTGAAATGATAACAATTATGGAGCCAGGCACACCTCTCTGGGGAGCCTATTCCAGAGATGGGGTGCAACCACCAAGAAGGCCCTTCTTCTTGCTGCCGCCCCCCTCGCCTCCCTGAGGAATGGCTCCTTAAGAAGGACCTCCTGTCACTTTACGTAAAAACATGTCTGTTTTGCCCCTCAGGCATTCCAGAAAAAGTCTGGGGCTGGAAGAGCATGGGACACATTGTCGCCCACCATGTTCGCCATGCCGACACCTCCACGCACATCGGCACGGTCTGAATTTAGCTGGGGACCAGTTGCATGGAACTGTCGTAGGCAGGCGGAGTGCACCTCAGGGGGGGCCTGGGCAGAGGGGGCCAGCCATGCACACGACCCCATCCCAGGGCACGTGCTGAGTACACATCTATTCCCTCCAGGGCCTGAATAGACTTCGGAAGTGCTGGGAGCAGATGTAACCTTGTACAATAATAATTAAGACATGAGAATTGAAAGCTGATGCTTTTGAAAATACTTTGGGGTGATATAAATGATGAGGCTATAAAATGCTTCTAAAAAAGGAACCTAATTTGGCAAACAGCTGTCCAGTTAGTAGCAGCAAAATAATCTGAAATCTGTTGAAATCATCTCCGAGCTGGTGGCTGCCATCTGTGTTGGAGTACAATGCCCATCACTCTCAGCCAGCAGGGTCACCCATGCTGGTGGGGGTTGTAGTCCAGCACACTTGGTGGCCTTCTGTTTGGGGAAGGCTGAACTACAGAAGGGGTCTAATAAATGATTCAGAATCTATTGATTAATAGATTTATGCATTAATTAAATTAATACAGAAAATTAGGTCTTAACCAGAGACAGGGATTGGTTGTTTTAGGAAAGACATGACCATGTAATTGGAAATGGAATCTGTGAACTGGGACAAGCCAAATAATTGTAAAACTGTGGGATGGATCCAGACTTAGTCATGCATTGACCATCAAGTCTGCCATGCCTTAACTTGAGTCCCACTGATTTCACGGGGTCTCCTCTAAGCACGGCTAAGTCTGAATTCATTCCACTCCGCCTGAACAGATTGCCTCCAAATTTGTGGGCTTTATGCTGTGTCAACCAAAACAAAAAACCTGGAGGGAGGCAGGAGATTCTTTGTGTTGTTTCTCTGTATCGCCTGTTCTGAAATTCAGTGGAACGCTATGCTAGATAGAAATTATGGGAACCACACAATCCCAGGAGAGTTGGAAGGGACCCATAAGGCCATCAGGACTAGTGTCCTGCTTAATGCAGTACCTCAAGTTAAACATCCAACTGTATCTTGGAATGCCTCCAGGGTAGAGAGACCCCAGGCTCCCTAAGTCATTGGTCCCATTGGTGTATTACGCTAAAAGTCAAGAGGTTCTTCCTGATGTTCAGCCAGAATCCGGGCCTGTTCACTTCAGCCCGTTAATCCATGTATTGCTTTCTGGGATAACTGAGAAGAGAGCCTGGCCCTCCATGTGGCAGCCTTTCAAGTACTTGTAGAGTGCTATCATACCTCCCCTTCGCCTTCTCTTTCCTTAGCAAAACATGCCCAGTCATTCCAGTCTCCATCGGACTTTGTTTCCAGTTCCTGATCATGTTTGCTGCCTTCCTCCGAACCTTTTCCAGATAGTTTGCATCTTGCTTAAACTGTGCTGCCCAGAACTGGATGCAACCCTCCAGATGAGATCCAACCATTTATTTATATGTCTATTCATTGCATTTGTATTCCACCCCATACCCAAGGGGCAGCTCGCAAGAAGCAAACAATGCCATCTAAAAACCACATAAAATCCAGTTAAAATAAAATGCAAAACAGGAGGACAATCAACAACATAAGCAACAATAAAACCAGCAGTGAAAACTGAATAAAAGCATGGTTCTAAAAACAGATACTAAATAAAAAGGTTAAACCCTTTGCTGAGTGAAGGGGCTTGAGGCCTATCCAGTGCTGGGGTTGTAATCCTGCACATCTGGAGAGCACCAGGTTGGAGAAAGCTGGCAGCATTTGGATACCAGGACTTGCCATGCTAACTCGGGAAAGGAGGAACTGTGCAGCGCGTCCTCTTGGCTCTGCAATAAGTTTGTGTTCGGGAATTTGAGCCCAGCGCCCCACGTTTCCCAGGCCTCTTGCTGGATCAGCTGCTGAGCCTGGGCTATTGTTGTCCTTCCTCTAGATCGTGATCCCTTTCTTCAGCCTGCTCATCAAGGACATTTACTTCCTCAACGAGGGCTGTGCCAACCGTCTGCCCAACGGCCACGTCAATTTTGAAGTAAGTACAGGAGGTAGAATTTCTTGGTGGCTTTCGCTCCCAGGCATTGCTGACTGAAATGTGAGCAGCAAGCTTTGCCAGTGGGTGGCTGCCGGTTCTTCTGATGCCGCTTGAGAGAGATCCGGTAGTTTGCTGTCTGTTGCAATTTCACATTGCCCGAGATGCATGCATGGAAAACCAGTTGATCTCCTTAGTCCCTTGTCCCTCCACTTATTTGAAAAGAAGCATTAGCCCTTCCTTTTAAATAGATAATGTATCCCTCCCTTCCTTACAAAATGCCTTTCTCTCTGGCCCGCTGGTGTTCCCTCCTGCAGCACAGTGTTAACAAGGCTTCTTTCGTGGCAGGGTCTTTCCTTGTTCCTTTGGGGCATCCCGCTGGGGACTCTGAGCCAGAGAGGAGTCCAAGAGCCAGAAATTTCGGGAGAGCTTTCGCTCCCCTCTCCCTTTCTCCCAGCCCTCCTCTCTGCTCTTTCTCTGCGCTTTTTCTCCTTCTCTCTCTCCATCCTGTTTTCTCCCCCTTTCTGCCCACTTTCTCTCCCCCACCCGCCTCTTCCCTTTTTCTTCATTTCTCTCTCCAGTTCGCTTTGCTGTGCCCTCTACCTCCAAAGGCCTGAAGAGAGAAATAAAGGCTCCCGTGAATCCAAAATATTTGCCTGCCATTTCTTTGGTTGATTTTCTGGTCAGGAAAAGCATCCAGCTCAGCGATTCTGGCAGCACCCTCCAAAGAGGACACAGCTGCCCTCTGAGTGGGGTAATTAGTATAATTAAATGGGGATAACCAGCCAGGGGCTGATGGGTCATATTCCTCTCCAGCCTGCATCCCCACATCCTGTGTCTCATGCTCCTGCAGCAGCTTGGGTCAGTGGAGGTACTTCTTTAAAGCCTAATTTCATGGTGGGGGGATCACAGCTGCAAAAGTGCGGCCACTGCCACATCTCCATGTGCTGTGATCCACCCCAAAACATACACACAGAGAGCCATCTGGCTTGAAATAGCTCTCCCTTTCCTTCAGGGGAAGGCTTTTTTCCAGGCACTAAGTGCTCCCCAGGGTGGTGATCGTGTGTGTGTAAGACAGTTAAACTTTCCCTCCCTGGATGCTCAGCGTGAGATCCCCAGAAGGTTACCCATGAAAGAGGAGATCCCTTGAGGTGGAAGTGCTTCCCCTGCTCCGCTCTAAAAGAAATCCTTGGAGGAAGAGGTATAACAAGGAATGGGCATCTTTGCTTCTTGATTTAAAAAACCAAGTCTGCCTTTATCACAGGCAGAGCAAATACTAGTTTGCAATTCCCCCTACTCCAGGTTCTTTTGTCTGACCAGAATCAAATACAGTTTAAATATTGGAAGATAGATAGATATAGATAGATAGATAGATAGATAGATAGATAGATAGATAGATAGATAGATAGATTTAAGCAGGCTGGGTTCTTGCTTTTATTGATGTGTTGATTCTTCCCCCTTCCCTTCTTTGGAATCTTTGATTACAGAAATTTTGGGAACTGGCTAAGCAAGTGAGTGAGTTCATGACATGGAAACAAGTGGAATGTCCTTTTGAGAGGGACCGGAAAATCCTTCAGTACTTGCTCACAGTCCCCATCTTCAGTGAGGATGGTAAGCGAAGGTCACGCTTGGTTCAGTCTGCTGGCCAGGAAGTCTCCTTAATGCTGTCAAGGATTTCATCTTCTGAGCAGCTGCTGGCTGGTTCGGTTTTAGTAAAACTGGAATGTCTTCTTCACCGACTCTCTTTGGTCTCCATTGTCAATTCTTATTTCATGGTTTTATTGCTTTGTATTGTTCCTTGATGTGAAGGAACAATTCCGAGTGTTTCTGGGACAGAAAGCAGAGGATATGAATCATCTGTTAGAACAATCCTACAGACCCTGGACAGCATCTGAGCAGCCACGGGAGTTCAGACTCCCAGAGCCAAGACTGGAATTAGGAAGAAGTCATGGTACTGCTCTGCTTCTCCGCCCCTGGCATCCAGCAGAGCAAGAACTGTGCCACCTACTCCCAGAGGCTGGAAAAGCAACATTGGAGAGGAGGCAAAGGGACCATAGAGAAGGAAATTGACTAGAGAGACCAGGGCAAGAGGTGTCCTGCAACTGCTCCAGCCTCCTTCTCTTCCCCAAAGCTGCTCTAGCTAATAGAGCCCCCAAAAGCCCATCTCGTGGAAAGTGCAGGCTGGGAGGGTGGGAGGCCAACACAGCCTCTGCCCCCACTTTGCAGAGAATACCTACAGACCTCTGAGGTTAGGCTTCTGGGCATTGCAGGAGGGTCGTGTCCTTAACAAATGATGAACACGGTGGCTGTCCCAGCATGTGACTTGCTGGAACGTACCCATTAGAGAAGGACTGAGCTCGGCTTTTGCTGCAGCCATAGAATCCAACACTTACCCTGTTATATTTATTCCGTTTCTACCCTGCCTTTGCACCAAAAGCAGCACTCAAGGCAGCTAAGCCTAATAAATCAAGAGTAAAATAAACTTAGTTAAAACAACCATGAAACAAACAAATTAAGAACAGAATTTTAAAAACTTAATGAGAAAATAAATAAAAATAACTAATAGAACCTGTGTATTATTTGATTCTAATGGTTACTAAGAGGGTTTAAACTATGGACAAATGGAATCAATTTACCTTTAAAAGTAATACATGTTGTAAAACTGCACAGAGTTTCCCCTCCAAATGCTGTAATCTGGTGGTCATGTTTCAGCAAAGGTGGTTGGCTGGCTGGAGGGTTGGATTGAGATGCAAGAGTGGGATAGAACGTTTGAGAATGTCCATCCCTAATTCACAGGGCAACATTTCTAACCAAGCAGCTGGAAAATCAAAACTGATCATCCGCATTAGAGATGGGCCTTGTTCCTTCGGTTTCTGGAAGGGACTGAGATGTTCAGTGGCGGCTCCCAGTGGAGGAAGTAGAGAAGCGATTTCTGCTCATCCTTCCCCCTTTCCCCAGCATCATTTCCCACAAAGGATGCCACAACCTTCCCAAGTAGCTTTTCAGAGAAAGAGGAAATCAGCTAAACAGCCTCCCTTCCACCTCACATCCACTCGCTCGCTCAACACTACCTTTGCACTGGGGAAGAGTGAAAAAAGGTGTCCCGAATGTTGTGAGCAAATATCCAGTTTCTACCATGGTGCTAGTTGCATTGCACAACCGTTGCACAACTAGTGTTGGAATGCCTTTGCATAGCACCCGTGCGAGGAACCTGTGAGTAGCGTTCCACTCAGGAGAAACCAGGATCTGACCCATTGTGTCTCATCAGTGTCAGCACATTTTAGCCATGTAAGAGATCTCTTCACAATCGGGACCAGATTCCTGTACTCTTGGGAAGCGTGGCAGAGACAAATGCAATCTCACCATGGTGACATTTTGTTTCCTCCGCAGCACTTTATTTGGCTTCCTATGAGAGCGAAGGCCCCGAGAACCACATTGAAAAGGACAGGTGGAAGACGCTCAGGTCGGTGTCAAAGGGCCGTCAGTAGGCCAGCAGGCTGCATGTTCGCTCTAGCGTTAGACCCCATCGGCTCCAGATGTGCTGTTACATGTGTCGAGGGAAGAGCACCCTGGGGAACTTACCACGAACTGTCATTCTAACTTCTGGACTTGCCATAAGAATTGCTGCAAACTATTTCATCTTCCTGGTTGGCTCCACCCATCCTCAATCCATTGGGAACTTGAGTTTCCCTGTCTAAAATTCAAATATGTAATTTTGCCAAATTATTGTCATTATTTATCCCATGTCCTTGCTTGTATGAGAACATTGACTAGTTAATCACGTGTAATTATCATTTTGGCCACTAAAACTGGAGTTCTGGCATAGATGCATTGGGTGAAGCCCTTTTGGGCGGCTTGAGTTGCTGAGCTGTACAGAACAGAAACAAATGCCAGTGGCAATAAAGAACATTCTGGCTATGGTAGGAATTGATGGCCCCTTTCGTGCGGTGCTTAAAGTGCTGGGCGGGGGATCTAGAAATTCTGGGTTCTCGTCCTCACTCAGCCATGAAGCCCGCTGGGTGATGTGGGGCCAGGGTCATAGGTGGACCAAAGGCAAAAGACCGAAACATCAAAAATGTCAGCATATTTTAGCTTGATGCTCTCACTTCCAGTAACTAAGCCTTCGGGGAGACAGTTGAATGTTTTTAGAATAGAGAATAAACTGCATGAACATTGGGAAACTGCTGAACAGTTTGTGATTGGAGGAAAGAGACAGCGGCATGGCCTTCTGGGGAAACCCAGGAGGACTGCAGTGGGACCTTCTGTGCCCCTCCTGCATACTCCGAAGAGCAACTTCTCAATGTCTTGACAGGTTTCTCCATCTCTTTGGTTTTCTCTTTAGGTCAACACTTCTGGGAAGGGTCTAGTCCATGGCTGGCTTCATCCTGCTGCTACACAGACATGGATTCTTCTTATTCAAAGCCTTGAATAGGGCCATTTATTTATTTTCCCTTTGCCTCACCCCCTTTAAATCAAGTGGCATTCTGCATTCTGAGAACTGGTTAAGACATGTCCAAGCATTATACAGAGGAACCGCTGCAGAGTAAACTCAACTCAAGGATAAACAGACGAGTCTGAAACCTGACAGATTATCAGATTATATCACAAGTTGGTTATACATGATTGATCAAAGACAGTAATGAGGAAACCCTTTTGAAGATCAGAGTCTTCTTTGATTCATTTTGAAACACCTGGATGGGATTTTCCCCGCTACCACCAACACTTTGACGTTTGCCCTGCTGTTCCTTTGATGTGTTACGACGTGCTGCTACTTGAATGCTGGATTCTAAAGCAAATTTCCACGTCACTCATCAGAATTCCAACTTTGACTGTTTCGTGTTAGGAAAGGAAAGGACAGTTTGCTGAATGAATCTGGGAACTTTTGTTATTCGCCTTGAGAGAGAAAAGAATCATGATGGAGTGAAACGGGCTGCTAAGGTTTTCATCTATTTATCATGGAAATGGGGTTTATTATTTTTCTTCTGTAAGGCTTTTTGTTTTTGAGTTAGCTGCTGGTTGGCAAACTCTTATTTTATATTATTTGAAAATAAAAAGTAATGAAATACAATGCTTTGATAGGAAAAGCAGACACTAGAAGGATATGTAGCAAATGTAGCTAGACGTGTAAGAAATTCTCCTCAACACCCCAATTACAATTATGCTTTTTTGGTGTTTGTCTAAGGGCAGATCTACATTACAAACTGGTATGAAACCAGCCTTGTGGCTTTCTCCAAAGAATCCTGGGAACTTACTTTTTGAGGGCATTCCCAAAAAAGACCTCAAACTTGTTCATAAGATTTGTTCCTGAAATTCTGCCTTGCCATAACAATTAAACAGGCTTGAAAATTGTCTTAAATTTGTAATATAGACATCCCCCAAATAGCTGTATTTTTTCTGTCTTTCCCTTCTTTTGTTCTTCTTGAGAAGCATCACTTTCTGCTTGAGAAGCTGCAGCTCAGACTGTAGTTAGAGTTAGTATAAACTTTAGTTTTATTGACTTGCTACCTGCTTTTGGAGGCATGGCCTACCATAATATATGATCTGGTGAAGCCAATTGAAATTGTGAAAATCCTACAGATAAAAAGAAAGTTTCTCTTTAGCTAATCTACAACTGTGAATGGAAAGCAGCCTCTCCTTTCTGTCTTCTGCTTCAGGAGTTTGAGCATTGTTTTGACAGTGAAACGGCTCACTTTGCTAGCCAGTCCTATGAAGTCTGTAGTCACCGGGGCTGCTTACACACTGTCATTTACCCGCTAGACATTCTGGCAAGTGAAAGATCCCTTTGAGCATCAGGCAGCTGTTGACAAATCATCTTCCAATCAAAGGGTCTTGTATGTATTCCTGTCACTCTGCAAACTTGAAAATCAATAAAAATCATGTCCTTAGGTTGCCCTGCATACCTGCGGTTTTGAAAGGAACTCTGGTTTGTCTCTCTTTTGAAATGGTTGCTAATAGCATGTCCACTGAGAACATTAATGGGGGTTACACTCGGGTAAGTGGGCTTAGAATCGCAGCACTTGTCATGAGAATTCTTGTTTTAAAAGGAACAGGATCCCTGTCCTTTGAAGAACATGCAAAAAATATTGTTAAGAAAGGACATTCACTTTTCCTTTATTAATACCACTTGCACACATGACCCGGAAGAGAAGTGGTGAAGTGGAAGCCAGAGATTATCCTTGTGGTGTTTCCCAGTTTGTCTCCTGGAGGACAATAGCATCTAAACCGGCCAAACTGCAAAGTACATTACGGGCTTGTTATTTCTTTGGTGGTTTGATTTTCTATTCTGCCGTAAACCAAAAGGATCCCCAAGGCAGTATATATAAGAGTTACACCAGCGTTGTTCCGATGTCCTGCGATGAAATTATTCCCCCAATTATTTATCCATGGAAATAATGCGCATTTTCTCTGTATGCTCAACCGCTGCTGCTTCGGTTCTTGAGTTGGCTGGAGAATTTGTGGTCGTGCTGGAATAGGTCCTTGGACTGTGAGTGTGGGGCTGTGAAGGAGGGAAGGGTGCTGATAGCCAGAAGCAACCAGCTTGTGTTGGGGGATCGAGAGAATGCAAGAACTTGAAAGGAGCAGGTGCGTACCAGAGCCGGGAGCATTTCTGATCAGGACAAGCCTTGCTACCTTCATGGCCACAGATGCAGCAAGATGTGCCACTGTGGGTCTCTCTCTTGGAAATGGAAGCCAATAGGATTGTCCCAGGCAAGGCAGGGGCCCCCTATTTTGGATGCAAATGAGGTTGGCTTCTGATGGCAACAAGCAACGTTTCCTTGTGCACAGTCTCTTTTCTCCTCTGCCTTCCATTACAGATGTAATAACCTGGTATTTATAGAAGGACAGAGGAGCAGGATGGGTGATGTGCAACACGACCATTTATTTTGTCCTCTCGGCTTCTCAAGTTTTCAAAAGTTCAGCTTTGCTCCAAATGTGAGAATTTCTCCAACTTGGTTCATCCTGACCTTTGCGATTTTAAAAAAAAGAGTTTGCACAGACATTCATAAGCGTTTTTGTGCATATTTCCCTTAACACACACATTTTGAGTACATTCTTGCCTAATAAACACACCTTTGCAAGCATTTTTCCTAATGTAATACATCTTTAACATTATTTCTTCTAATAAATGCATTTTAAACACATTTTTAATTGGAGAACATTGCAAAATTCAAAGAATTCTAAATTGCAAGGGTTTTGGTTTGCACAGTGCTTCAAAGTACAAAATTAGTTACATCTTCATTAAAATCTAAGCTGAAGTAATTCCTCTTTCCTCTCCACAGCCCCTTTTGCTAGATACAATATGTAAATAGAAATTTTCTAAATACATACATACATACATACATACATACATACAAGTGTTGGCAAAAAGAGAAATGATAGGCCCAAATCCAAGAAACGGGAATTCTTTTGTTGGTGTTACTACTTAAATTTATATTGATGAAAGAAGCAAGCCTTTTAAAACACTGCATTATGACTGGATTCTTCAGGGCAAAGAACTAGTAGCCAAGGAAAGCAACCTGCAGATAGAAAGTTGACTCTGCAGTGGGGCCTTAGATTAGCCGCCCTCTCTCAGCCTCGGTCATCCCTGTAAGCACCGTGGGGAGCAATAAAGCTGGCCTGCCGTACAGGGTGGTGGATGTAAGATTTACAATTCAATAAGGCATCAGGAGTACTTATGCAAATGCCAAGTATTACTGCATCAGGCCTCTAGATCCCCAGCTTCAAATGTAGATGTCCGTTCAGAAGAGAGCCATTTAAGAAACACAGTGCTCAAACAGTGGTGCAATTACCTGATGATTTAATGGTCGTCGTGCTCTTTACATGATCATGTGTATTACAGCAAAATGTAGGAAGCCAGCTCTGCTGTGGGACAGCAGCTCCCACCTGTTCTGCAGAGAGCGGCCCTGGAAGCCTGGTCCAAAGTTCTTCTCTGATGGCCTGGCCATGGTCCCGTCAATCCACAGGACTTGGAGGGATGCCATCTCAGGACCTCATTGGTCCAGTTGAAGATTCCAAACAATTCCAAAGAACTCCGGGCTGAATTAAAAATAGGCGGCCTCTTCTTGCCGCATTAAGATCTAGAATAAAAATCCAGGATGTGGGGATTCATGAATGGGGAATCCAGCAGGGCTGTGATGCAATTACTTTCCTGGAGCTAGAATACAAACCCTCTTGAGGAAATTCTATTTAGTCAATTGCCATTTTCAAATATTGAAAAAGATCTCATCTTGAGACAGAAAGGAAAATGCAGAGCAGCTAATTTAGAATAAATCACACAAAGCATTTCCAAGATGTCCATCAGTTAAACCAGCTGCCCTTGAGGCAGGTGGCATCTCCTTCCTTGGAATGTTTCATGGCCTGCTTGTAATAGTCTA